TTTCAGAAGCTCAGAGAAAATGATTTGAAATACCATGAAATGACAATAAAGACATGCCTTAAACTCCATGCCTCAATCTCACTGATTGCAAACAGGAGGAATATTTACTGGAACAGAAATGAGAATTTCTATTTCTTGTATAGTCTTTTTTTGTGTGGACCCTGTGAGTTTTTTATTAAATAATGGACATTGAAATAAATTGCTTTCATCTCTTGAAGGCTTCTTTCTTTCTTCAATCATTTTAACTTTCCTCTCCTCTTTGAGTATTCATATAGATGACTTTGAAAAACTGACCGGAAAGGAATAGTAAACATATTCGGTAAAGCAACTGATTGTTACTATGGCAACATCGAATGTGTTTGACATTTCCATTATTCTCTGTTGCTATAGTAATGAAACCCTGGATTCTAACACTATTTCCAAATTCTATTAAAATAAAGCCCTTCTCATCCCCAAGCCAGAGGAAGGGCCAGTACTATTAATGTACAAGACATATTAGTATGCTTTCCAACACTGAGAAACTGATGACATGAGAAACATTTTGCTACATTTCAATCAAACTCAAAATAGCTAAAAAGTGAAAAAAAGGGAAAAGCTCAGAAGGTAGAATAAAAAGTTTTGTTATTAAAACCAGCCTTTTGTGTTTAATATATGTAAAATAGCCTTAATTTATGAAATTAAAGTCACTAAAATTTAACATCCAATCTTAATGCACTAAAATATAATTTTTGTTCTATTTTAGGTCAAAATATGGTAAAAAGAAGGGCAACAAAAATAAATAAATAAATTACTTGGGGTTCTAGGAGCTTTTTGTACTCAAAAATTATATGATCTACTCATCCACTTTCAAATTTATGATGGAACAAGAACAGTTTTATGTTACTTGTTATAAGTAACAGAAGAGGCATGCTTTGGTTACACATGTTTTAATTAATGGATGAAAATATGATTTGAAAGTAAAGTGAGGGACAGAGTAGTAAGAATGCATTTTAAAGGAAAAAAGGGATATTAGAAAGAAAAATGAGTTGCAATGGGATTGGGAGTAGTATGGAAGAAAGAACCCAAAATATGGAAAGATCGACAGAGACCTAAATAGAGACAGAGCCAAAAATCCCAAGAGGGCTGTTTTATAAGAACTACAGCAGGTACTATAGAGTAATTGACATAATATTAAATTATTTGGTCTACTAAGAGAAATATAAATTGCTAAAGACTTCTGAAAGTTCATTCATCTCTAAAATAATTTAGAAAAATTGTTTCTTGCTTGGAAAGGATACATACCTAATGGTTAAATGAAGCATAAGGGCTGAAATCAGGAATGTCTATGTTAGTCCCCCTATTTCATTGTTATATGATCTTGAGTAAATCTAAATTTTCTGAACCTGTTTCCTTTTGCATAAAATGATGATGTGTCTTAAATTCATGCCTCAATTTCCTTAACTATAAATCCCTTAAAAATGGTAATATATGCAACGTATTTAGCAAATTGTCTTGTATGTATGTAAGTATTCATTAAATGTAGCTGTTGCTATTTTATTTTCTAGCCAGGAATTATGGGAGTGACAGGAAGTGGGCATATTTTTGTCTTTTGTTTCTAAAGTCATGAAGTATGCAACTATTCAAATAATTAGATATAGAAGAAAATGCCATTTAAAGTGGCACAACATAGCTTTTAGAAGTGGAACACATTATCTGAAGAAAACACAGAGCAAGAGCATGAGGTCTCAGGTTGATCGCTAATTAGTGATGTTAAATAAGCCAAATATTAGGGCTGGGGATTCAGCTCAGTGGTGCTGCTGCCTGCCTCGCAAGCACAAGGTCCTGAGTTCAATCTTTGGTACCACAAAAAAAAAAGAAAAAAAAGCCAAAATAACTCTAGACCCACTTCCTCTTTTGTGAAATTGGGATAAAGTGATAATATCTTTAGAACAGAAATAAAACCTTATAAATAAAACTAAGATAATAAAATAATCTAATTTATTTTATTATGTAAAAAATATTTTGAAAAATGATTAATCACAAGTATAGTCCATATCCAACTTTTCTTAACTATAACTTAAATCGGGATTTTTCTCTTTTTTTAGGGGGGTGGAACTGGGGCTTGAACTCAGGACATTGTACTTGCAAGGCAGGTGGGTGCCACTGAGCTACGTCCCTGGCCCTTAAATCTGGATCTTAATATCTTAGACTTATAAACAGTGTTCTAATTTTTTCAGCCTGTTAAAATAAAAAGACAATAAGACTGGGTGGCTTAAATTACCAACACTTATTTCTCCACAATTCTAAACTGGAAAGTTCAAGATCAAGGTGCTAGTAGATATAGCTTCTGAGGAGGTTCACAGACAGCTAGCTGGTTTGTGGGTCCTTGCATGGTGGAAGGGATGAGGGAGCACTCTGAATTCTTTTATAAGCACACTCATGACTAATCCCACTCATGACTGTTCCACCTAATCACCTCCCTAAGGCCCAAAGTCTAAATACCATTATCTTGGGGGTTAGAGTTTCAACATATAAACTTCAAGTGTGTGGAGGGACACAAACTTTTAATCTACAATAACAAATATAATGTGTTCTGGGTCTTATAAAATGCTTTTCCCCCAAGTTTTACTATGTTCCTTTTGCCTTTCTTCTTCAAAAAAGCATTTCTACACATTGCTTCTCTAGTTGAACAACCACAAAGACTTGCCAAGAATCATAGTTCTTGCCTTAAAACAATGTAAATAAATTGAGTAACCACAGGTAAGCTTTCTAAGTAAACTCAGGATCCTGTTTATAAGTGTATTATTGTTATTGATCACAACCCTTTTTACTTCGCATAGACAAAGAATTAGGATAAGATAAAAATCAAGAATTTTGTCTATAGACAATACGTGCTATGGTGTTTAGCAGTTATTCCATGGAAATGGCTAAAGAAGTGGAGTAAAAGCAAGGGGCAAGAAGGGATAAGATAACTTTCATTTGGCTGGTAAGCCATAGATTCATTCACTAAGACTACTATTCAAGCAATTATATGATCATTATCCATTCTACAACTTAAAATCTAAATTGACTTGCTGATAAACAGTAAAAGCAAGATCTGTGCTACATGCTGGGGATAAAATAAATAATATTTTTGCCTTTGAGCTTTCAGTACACTCAAAAAAATAGGAAAAAAGATGATGTACTGTGTGTGTGTGTGTGTGTGTGTGTGTGTGTGTGGTGGGGTTATTCAGAAAAATTCCCACAATCTGCGAATGCTGCGGTTAATTGAGGGAAGGATAGAGTTCATGATATTAAAGTAAAAGTTTCTTAATATTACATTTTCTAGACCTTATCTGTATTACTGAGTGAACAAACAGATTCAAGTGACTGACAGACTCCGGAAAAAGGAGAAAGAGAAAGTGGTTATAATGGAAATGAATAGTTCTCTAACTTTTTCATACACACCTAAAAATCACCACAAACAATATCCCAAATTATAAAATACAAGCCTCTATATTTTTCCTAAAGCAATGAGTTTCTTTTGTTTTACTTAGGCAAAAGTATAGACATGCTGCTTTTTCGCAGTCATGAAATCTGTAAAAACTAAACGTCAATACATTTCAAAAAGCCTACTTCATAAGTACTTCCTATTTTTTGTTGGGAAGTTCTGGGAATATAGAGAAAGGATTCACCATTCACCCAGAATATTTCATTTTTATTTACCAAATCTTCTTGCTAAGCTATGACTGTATGCACTATGTTAGACCACACCCATCTTGAGCATCCTGTTTTACCTGGCAAATCTATACTGCATTACAACTTGGAAGTAGTGGTAAGATAAAAGGAAAGGAAAAGTTCCTTCAGAAAAAATTTCTAAAGTGAATCTTGGCCAAAGCCGGGAAGAGGCTGGTGAAACAAACCCCTTTCTGGATTGAAACATAGCAAAGCAAACCGAGTTCCAGCAACTGAAAGAAGGAAAGAAATTGGGGTAAGGAAGAAGGAAGGGAGGTATTGGTAGTGGGAGATGAAGCCTCAGGGAAAAGCAGGAGCGCCTTGTCTTCCAGGACGTGGTAAGCCTTGTAAGGAGTTTGCACTTCATGGTAAAAAGAGTGAGATTCCACCAGAGAACTGTGAGGGGCCTGTTTTGGATACAGTTTGAAGAACGGACTGTAGAAGGGCAGACAGGACACTGAGTACTGATATAATACAGGACAGGTGATTACTGATATAATTCAGGCGAGAAATCAACACAGGCAGTGGGAAGACAAATGCATTAGTAACGCCTCAACTTGAGATGGCAGAGAATGAGGCAACTACGAAGAGGGCTAGAGGAGGACTGAGGAGGAAAAATACAACAGCACACATTAGAAGGAAAACTGAACAAAGAGTCAAAAAGTTAGTCTTTGAGAACTCAAGCATAAGAAGTGACTGCTGGATTTGACCAAAAGGAAGTCACCAGTGAGCTCTGGCAAAGGCCGTTTCAATGGAATGTTTCAGGCCCAAAGAGGTCACGGTTGTCTGCGTAGAGGAAAATGCAGATCTAGGAACCCAGCGGGAGAAACAAAAGGGTCTCAATTCTTTTTTGCCCTTCTAATAATAGGTCGAGCATCTAGGAGAGATAGAGAAGAAGCGGCTAGTGCCCCAATCAGGAGGAATAGCGCAGCAAGCCGATCTCTAGGGACCAATCCGCTCCTATAGCCCACTTGACTGACAGAGCCGCGCGCCAAAGACGGAGCGCAGAGCGGGGAGCGGAATCACGAGGGGGCGGGATCCAGGGCACTAACCCGGAACCGTTTGGGACTCGATTCCCATTGTGAGGCCCTGGCCTGGGGCGGGATCTCAGCAGAATGGCAATACTATTCGGTCCAATGGATGAGCTGCATCAAATAAAAGGCAGCCTCTCTAGCCAATGGAGAGAGGGAGAAGTTGGTGGGCGGGGAATCAATGAAGCATCTCTTTTCTACCACCCCGAGGGGCGACCCTGTGAAGGTGCACCCGAGTCGCAGGTGAGCCTACTGTATTGGAGAAGGCGGCAAGGGGAGCTGTGGCCCCACGGAAATTGGGTGCCCTCGCAGCGTGGGCCGGTGTGCGTGGGGTCCTGGAGGGGTCAGCGGCAGGTGGTTGCCACCCTGCTGCCGAGATTGGCCCAGGTTTTGCAACGTAGCGGGACTACAGCTCTTGGGAGAAGGACCGCACTCGGATCCCTCCCGGCCAAGGAGGGTGAGGAGGGCCCAGGCCGCTAAAACAGGGCTGCAGAAGTTTCTGGGCACACAGTTGGGACTTTCGTTTAATATCTGGAGAGAGGGATTTCCCCTTCCAAGTTACCTGGAGCGTCCCCTGTGCCCGTGGCCTCGGGAATCCAGTCCCGGATTCTCCCCAGGATGGTACTGAGGGCGGGGCGAGAAGCGGCGGGGAGGGTGAGGGTTGCTTTGATAACTGGCTACCCTAAACTTTAGTTGTTTGCCTGTTACAAGTTTAGAGAACAGCATCCTATTCGGCAGGGAAGTGAATCTCCTGTAAGAATATAGAGGAGGGGAAAGGCACTCTTTAAAGTGGATTGGGGTGGGAGGGTTGAGGAAAGTTTGTTGATTTTTGATGCTTTCCTTCTCAAACTGCTTAATCAGTCTCTCTTCCTTAACTTAGACTTTACTGCCTATTTTTAAAATTCTGCCGTATCATGCAATATCTAGAAACTTACTTCCAATTAGTCCTTGTAAATAATCGTCCGGTTATGATAAGCAATTGGTGGTACATGATCTTCACAATGATTACGCGAGTGAAGTGCATATTATTCCCACTTTCAACCAGTAAAGAATGAGAATTTAGGAAATGGCTGTTCTCTGTGATTGACATTGGAGATCTCTAAGTTTTAGATTTAGGGACTGCAGCTATTCAATTTCCTGCTGCAAAGTCAGGGATGGCAACTAATAAAAAAGACGTAGTATTTGACTTCTTTATACATTTTATCGGGTATTTTTATAACCGCAGCACTTTTTGCCTTGCATATTGTAGGAGATTAGTAAATGTATTTTGAGGAAATTGTTGGGAGTAGATGATAGAAAATCCAAGCTTTTGTTACAAGGGTACAAAAATATAAAGGCAATGACAGTAAGATTAGGATTCCTGAAAACATAATTTTTATGTGTTTAAACATAACTACCAGATTATAACACCTCAGCAAGCACTAATCTTAGCACTTTTGCACTTAAAAAGATTTCAGGCCAAGGGTTTCACACACTTAAGTCAAAATTGATAGGAAATCTAAGATGTGTTCCAATAGCAATTTTGGGGGAGTTTAAAGTGATCTAAAGTGTATTTTGTCAATAAAATATTTCATTAGCTTAGCATAGATCAATCAGGGAAAAAGGGAGATCATTTTGTAAGCTAGAAGTATGGAAAAATTAGTCCATGTAAATAGCAACAACTGCTGCCAACTTTTAAAAATATAGTCTATTGACTTGGGTAGGTTAAAAAGGACTTTCATTTCTCCCATGTACCAGTAAATTAATAGTTCATTTACTAACTCGATCTCAAATTCAAATTCAAAATCTGATGGTAGATATCAGCATAAAATAGGATTTTCTTAACAGTTTCAATCAGTTTATTGTATTATGTACTTATATTTATCATATATTACAGTTTATGTATTATAGTAACAGTGGCTTGTATGAAAGATGATGTGCTTGAATTTTAAAAATATGTGAGCTTTCACAGTTTATTTCACAATATTTATTTCAGGGCATTTTATTAACAAAGTATAAAGTCTTACTATTAAAGATTTGCGGACATTTGACCCCAATTTAATTTTCCAGCTTTAGTTCTTGGTACTTCTCCCTTTTGTTTCTGTCCCTCATTAGTCTGTTTCTTCAAGTTAAACATTAATTCCTGCTGAAAACCTTTTTTGTTCCATCAAAGATTTTTACTTCTGGACATCCTGAGTATTTTGTTAGGACTTCTTTACTGTACTCTTCAAATGTTAACATTAAATTATCCAGTAAAGAAATATTTCTTACTATGTCCAGATACTGTACTAAAAGTTAATAGATAGTAGCTGACATTTTTTGTAACTTTACTATATCTTAGTCCTTATAAACTTAATTGGATTATGTCTTTGAATCCTTGGGATATCATGAATGCTATTCTATTACTATGCCCATTTATAAATGGGAAACAAAAATAAAAGTTTAATTTGCTTGAGATCAGAGACCTAGGAAGTGGTGGAATTGGCATACAAGCCTAGGTAGTGTATGTTCACAACTTTTACTCCATTACTTTTTCACATGCATTTTTTTATATCTGTGCTTTACAGATTTCACTAGGTTGTAAATTATTTGATTGCAGGCTATATTCTTCTGGTCTCTGGTATAATGTTCTGTTATGTGTATTTTCCCAAAAATTAATTAGCTTTTTCTACAAGCCTTGTGGCAGATGAGGTCTTTCCTTATCAATCTCTGAAAGGAAATTTCTTAGCAGCTATAGCATTTGTACTCCTCCTTGCCTTTCTGTGCATATGTGAACAAATAGGTTTGTGGAGGTTGTTTTGTTTTGTTTTGTTTGTACCTGGGATTGAACTTGGGACCTTGTGCTCATGAGACGGGCTGCAGAACCACTGAGGTAAATCCCCAGCCCCCAAGTAGGTTTTTAATACTGCTTCGCTAGCAGGGTGGTTCTCAGTGTTAGCTGACAGAGAGCTTTTAAAACTCCTAATGTCTGGCCCTATAGCAAGACTGTTTTAGTTGGTCAGAGATAGGGTTTGGCTAGAGGTATTTTTACTTTTTGGTACTGGGGATCGAACTCGGGTCCTTGCGCTTGTGAGGCAGGCGGTGAAACCACTGAGTTAAATCCCCAGCCCCAAGAGGTATTTTAAAAAAACCTTTAGGTGACTTTTTTTGTTTATGAGGTTGAGTTTTACCCATACCCTCTCTTTGTCTCAAGTAATCCTCTTCCTTCAGTTTCCTGAGTAGCTGGTGCTGTAGACTCTTTATGTGATTTTGATGTCCTGTAGACTTACATTCTTCAATATACTAGCTACTGGGTACAGGTGCTCATGAGCTGGTGAAATGTGGCTAGTACAAAACGAGATGTGCTGTTAACTATAAAATACTCGATTTAAAAAACTTAATGGAAGAAATAAGAACGGGACTAATTTTTATATTAATTACAAATTATAATGATAATATAGAGATTATATAGTATTAAATAAAGATTGTTAAAAATTGGCACTTTAAAATTTTTACTTTCACTGTAGCTACTAGGAAATTTAAAATCGTGTGGATCACATAATATTTTTTTGGACAGTGTTCTAGCCTATTAATAGATTTGTGAGTAGTGGATTTGTAGGACTTGAAAAATATAATTTTCTATAATAAAAACCTCTCATAAATAGATAATTGTAATCACCTCAGTGTAAAATGTGCTTTGGGCTAACAAATAGGCATGTTCCTGAAGTAGAAATGATTGGTACACAGAATCCCTAGAAGCAGTGATTGGGGTGCCCAAGGTTGGTGATCCTGTTGCAGAGAATAGCATGTTGTGTCTCTGTGAACACTGATAGATGGCACCTCTGTGAATATACACACACAATTCGTTTTACTTGAATTAACTATAACATCCACACAGGAATGATGATGATATGGTAAGATGTATCCCTGCTCTAATATGACATTTATCGCATATATTCCATTTTGTGGCATAATATAGTTTATTTTTGTACAGTGCCGTATTAATGAATACTTGTATTTTCCCGTATTTTTTACCATGAAAATATGACAGTAGTTTTTTAAATGGTTCAAAAGCTGTTTATATTCTCTGAAACATTCTAAGTTTTGTGGAAACAGAAGTCATTTTGATCACATTGTAGGGATTTGATTTGATTTGATATGGAATTTAATGTCACTTTAATTGTCTATTCTACTTTTAAGACATCGAACCTCTGATTCTATTTTTAAAAAATGTCTTTCATAACCCATTTACCGTTGATAGATACTGCCTAAATAGCAATGACACCTGTTTACTGGAAAAAGTTTTTGTTGTTGTTGTTCATAATTTTGTCTAAGCTGTTAACTACTGCCTTCTGTGGCATGGTTGTAGGGTGAATAGTTATCTGATGTCTTTGTTTATTCTCATAAATTGATTTTTGTCTATGTTGACTTTTTTTAAAGAATATTCTTTGTGTGCCCATAGAAATTTCAGTTTTCCTAATTTAATCTTCAGTTATTTTCTGTTTCTATTTTTTTTTTTTACATCCCCTGATTACCATTTAATTTTGTGTTTTTGCCTCTTCCTATTTGTTAGGTGTATGTTATATATTGAAGATACTGTCTTTGGAGCAGGTGGTCTACCTTCTATATCCTCAGTGGTAGGCCAAATGGTGGAAGAAGAAAAAAAGCCAAGTTTTGATTTCAGTTGTTCCTTCAAGTATCCTGCAACACAGGATAGTAAGAAGAGATATATTGGTCCTGGTCCAATGATATAAAAGTCAATTGCTTCAGTTCTTTATATTGTTAGTTATAAACATGACACTTTCAGAGTATTTTTAGTTACCACTGGTGAAAAGCTGAATACTTGCCCATTCTCCTGGATAACTTGAATTACATCAGGACTATTAGACCAGAGTGCTAATTAAATGTGATCCTCAATAATTATAAGTATTATAGAATGTTTACCTAACTTGTTTAGCATCTGTTATTAAAATATTCCATTTAATTTTTTTAATTAGGTGCTAATTTGATATATGCAAAAACATTGTTACCATAATGTTTTAGAAAATCAGCCCCCTGTCCAATTGAAAGAAATCCTAATTTGTAGCATTTTCCATGCTATAATTTTCAAAGCTGTGGTATAAATACCGCCATCTCGGCCCATTTTTAGCTTCCTACCTGACATCTCTGAAGGTGGAATTGAAGAGATGTGTATTTGACATTTGTGAACTCTCAGGAGTAGGCTTTGTAATGTAGCATATATGTAAAGCATTATAAAGCATTATAAAGACCCATAGACCTACCATATAGCTTAACTACAACAGTACTGGTATTATTGTGACCTTTCTGTTCCCCTTTATTAAAATTATTTAGATTTTGTCTTTAATAATCGCAGATACTTGACAGTGCTTAGTGTGCGCCAGGAAATATTTTCCATATTGTACTAAATACTTTATTCGTTTTAGAGAGGTTAAGTAATTAAGGCCACATAATTAGAAAGTAGCAGATCCAAGGCCCTTATTTGGGGAGTCTGACTCCAGAGTCTGCTCATAACCTTTATACACATTGCCTCTTAATAATGTTTTAATTTATAAATACCTTTACTTATATATTTTTTTACTTATATTCTTTTGATAGAAGATAAATCCGTATGTTAATATCAACCTCAATGTCACTGATGACACATTCTGATTTAGTGGATTTCAATTTATCATTAAATGTCTTTTCAGATATTTTGAAACTGTAATTTAAAAATAGTTTGTTGGCAGTCCTTGTTTTTGCATACTGTGTTCTTTTTGTGTGTGTTTTGTGAAATTAATTGTTTTTGAGAGTTCATTTTCTGCTCTTTAGAATTTTTTAGTTCTCTGTGACCTTGATTTCAATAGAAAGTGGCTGTCCTGAAGATAGTTATTCCACATGAGTGAGTAGAAACAAAAAGATGTGGTGCCGGGCATATTTTTTGTGATATTATTAGATACATACAAAGTCAGTTGAATTAAGGGTACTGGGAACTAGAAAAGACAAAAGAATAAAACTTTACTGAAATAGTAATAAAAATACTGTTATTAAAGTTTCAAAATAAGGAATTAGCTTCCACTTTTAACTATAAAAGAGAAGGCTCAAACAATAATAGAAAAGACGTGTATTTTTCTGGTTAAATTTACCCTTGCTTATTTGCTATATTTTTACCTCATAGGAGATACTGTTTGTATTGTGAATTGTCAAATAATGATTTTTGACCATAATATAAATTTTAAATTGGCAGACATTGTGCCAAAAGGTAAACCGAGATACAATAGCATTTTAAACATTTTGAGGAAACAGAGATTCGTGAATTGGGCTGCTCTAAAAACCAGACATATTTCATCAGAGATTCTGCTGAAGGAATGCAAGGAGAAGGCTTTTATAGGATGAAGATGGAAGTAAAACAAAGAAAATATTTTATGGGTTATTTGCCTTATTTGGTTTAGCCTGTGGAAAAGTTCCTCATTATATAACTATAAATTCGTGGGCTGCTTCTGATTGGTTGGCCTTATATTTCATTTTTCATATATATGGTACTGACAAGAAATAGTCCAAGTAATTTTGTTTATACTTGTAAATCAGAGTTAAGGTAACTTAGGAAGTCTAACTGGCTGTGTCTGTTAGGTATTCTTCAGGCCTGGTCCCCGTTTTAATTTACTTTACACATGATAGGAGAAATGCAACTGGTTAAAGCTTTGAGTTTTTCTGCCTATATAAAAAATTGTATCTGAATTTTCCACGTAGATAATAATCTACTCCTTTTGAAAATCTACTAAATGGTATCTCAAAACTTACCTTAACGTATTTCTGGTTTAGCTAGCACAGGCTGCTAATAAAGTTGAAGTATATATGACATAAGGGAAACTGAGTATAAGTCCTGTCATTTAGCCATGTGCAAATTAACCCCTCAATCTTGTTTTATAAATAAAAATGCTGATATTTGTATTACAGTAGTTGGATGGAGATTAAATCAGAGGACCTGGAATTTTATGGATACTTGGTATTTTTTCTTCATACTGCCCAAAAAAGTTTATGGTAAATAGTGATGGAGCTGGAAAGGATTTTAGTAATCTCATCCCATCCTCTCATTTTGTAGGCTGTAGTCTGTAGCAATGATCACTGAGGGAATTTGAAATTGGAGAACATGCATATACATTTCTTATTCTTTCTAAGCCCTTGTTTCCTATTACATACCTTTGAAACCTGTTTTCCAAGTAAAAGATTTTCTAATTTCTTTTCCACTTTTCTCCTGAACCAGTATTTATAAAGCAGTATTTGCTCTAGTACTATATGAGATATTGCACCTTTTCTGCCTCTAGGAGAAAAATGAGTTCCTGACACAGAACTCAACAGATGTTCCCAGACTGCATCATTCCATACTACAAGAGCTACATAGTAGAAAAAACATTTCCCCTCAATGAGGATTTTGGATGTGCTTTATACAGTGTTCTACCACTAGCTGCACTTGTGTAAGATTTGACTGTAAGCAAGAGTCAGGGTTGTGAAGCATTCATTTTACTGATGTGGGTCTTGTACAGAAATTCTCTAACTTTTAGATGCATTACGGTCACCTAGAGGGCATATTGAAACACAGATTGCTGCTTACCACCTCTACAGTTGCAGATTCAATTAGTCAGGTGTGGGGTGTATCTGGTAAGTTTCTGATTAACGACCCTACAGCACATCATCTGGAAATTGGAGAAACATTCTGTCTTGCATCTAAAATAACTTACAAGAGGATCTTTCCCACCCTGAATTCATACTAAAATTTTACCGCATGTGTGTTTTTAAATTTATTACACAGAGACTGAAAATACAGTATACCTGGTTATGTGCCATCTTCACCATTTTCAACTCTGCAGTTAAAGTTGCCCAGAATATTATGAAGTACTACTGAGAAAACCTCCAAAGAAAAGTGAATAATGAAATGCATTAATGAACACACTGCTCAATGTGCTTTTGTTTCATGTTAGGGGCTTTTGTTTGGCTGGCTTGCGGGTGGGAAGAATGTGGTACACCTTGAGGGACAGTTACAATGGTAAACCGAGAACTGTGTATGCTGCAGAATGTTGAGGAATTGACATTTTTGCTTTTTTTGTTTTGATTTGATTAGTAATGTTTCTTTGATTCATTAGGCAGGATGACTATGGGAAATCCTTGCCATTTTTATACTACTGCTTTAATTTTGTTGTATCTTTAAAATAGTTTCATTGTTTCAAGAAATTTTATTCTAAGATTAGAGTTTTTTATTGGTTTAACCTAAAAATGAGTTTTAATTTACGAAGTAGTATATAGTTAATTGTTATTTTTTTTTAACACATTATGTCAGACTGATTTCTGAGTTTTACTGCTTTTTCAGCTCAGCCCTCTAGTTTTCCTCTAGGCTTTTTTTTTTGTCTTTGGCATGTCAAAGTCACGGCCATTTTAGCAGATCAACTCACTCATTCAACATATATTTATCATGTGCTTGCCATGTGCCAGAAACTCTGCTGGGCTCTGAGGAGGTAATGGTGAGCAGAAACATTCCTGCCAGGTTGGGAAGAATAGGCCAAGAAGGGAGCTGTCCATTTTGTGGGCAGAGGGAAGAGTGTGAGCAGAGGCCCTGAACAGGTAAGGAGCTTGACAGGCACAGGTGCCTGAAAGCAGGCTGGAGTTGGTGGAGGAAACAGAGTAAATTCATGGGGCGAGCTGGAGCAATAGGGAGTGGTCAGGAGTGCAACTAGTTAGAATCCATTTCAGCATCTCACATGAGAGAAGGGGTAGCTCATGGACCATGGTGATCCTGGCAAAGAGAAGTAGACAATCTCAGTCCATATTTGAAGGATTTTTGATGTTGTTTGTTTTTAAAAGTTATATAGCTTATTGGGTTGAATGTTACAGATGTGGCAGGTTGGTTGGTTGATTTTACTTTACTTTTTCCCTTTAGGAATTATCCAGCTTGCCTCCACTTCTAGATGAACAGAAAACCCAATGATTTGATCTAAGTGCCAACAGGGGATTGTCCTTGGTTTTTGTGCTGTTCAGCACTCCTCAAGTTTTTTTCACATCTTCTCTTATTGTAAAAACTGCATTTAAGTTTTGAAAAATGAAGCAGTTGAAAAGAAAAAGGAAAAGCAATTTTAGTGTTCAAGAAACTCAGACTCTTTTGAAAGAAATTACGAAAAGGAAAGAAGTCATTTTTTCCAAGCAGCTCAATACAACAATAAATGTGATGAAGCGAATGGCTTGGGAGGAGATTGCACAGTGTGTGAATGCTGTAGGGGAAGGAGAACAGAGAACAGGGACGGAAGTGAAAAGAAGGTACCTTGACTGGCGAGCACTTATGAAGAGAAAGAGGATGAAGACGAACATTAAGCTGGTGGGTTCTGGATTTCCCCTTCCCACATCTGATTTAGATGATTCCCTCACTGAAGAGATAGATGAAAAGATTGGATTCCGAAATGATGCAAATTTTGACTGGCAGAATGTAGCAGATTTCAGGGATGCAGGTGGATCCTTAACAGAGGTCAAAGTGGAAGAGGAAGAAAGGGATCCCCAGAGTCCTGAAGTAAGTATTTGTCTCTGACAGTTTTTTTTTTCATTTTTAACTCTAAGGTGAGAGTTTAAAGTCCTTGAATAATAGAGAAATTCTCATATTTTCAAGCTTACTTAACAAGATTATTCTGTTTACATTAGTAAGGTGAGAAACCTTAATTATCTCAATTTTGTGTATTAGTGATACCAGGTAATTCAATGTAAATTGTTTTCACACTTCAAATTAAGTGGTTTTGTGTGTTCAAACAATACAGGAAATTATGTGTTTAAACAATAATAAATATTTGGACAAACCTAACAATTACTACGTGAAGTAGAAGTAAATACTGAAAATCACTTGTCTCTTTTCTCTTAGTTTGAGATTGAGGAAGAAGAAGAGATGTTGTCATCTGTGATACCAGATTCCAGGAGGGAAAATGAGCTTCCTGATTTCCCCCACATTGATGAGTTTTTCACACTTAATGCAACACCATCTAGATCTGCATACGATGATCCCCATTTGCTTGTAAGCATAGAGAAACAGAAACTAGAGTTGGAAAAACGACGACTGGATATTGAGGCTGAGAGACTGCAGGTAGAAAAGGAACGCCTGCAGATAGAGAAAGAAAGGCTGCGGCACTTGGACATGGAGCATGAACGGCTTCAGCTGGAGAAGGAGCGGCTACAGATTGAGAGAGAGAAGCTAAGGTTACAGATAGTCAGTTCTGAGAAACCGTCCTTGGAAAATGAACTTGGCCAAGGAGAAAAGTCCTTACTTCAGCCACAGGACATAGAAACAGAGAAGCTAAAACTTGAGCGAGAACGCTTGCAGCTGGAAAAAGATAGGCTGCAATTTTTGAAGTTCGAATCTGAGAAGCTGCAGATTGAAAAAGAACGCTTACAAGTGGAAAAAGAGAGACTTCGAATTCAGAAAGAGGGACACTTGCAGTAATTTTTTTTAGGTCTTAGTGAATGTTTATATAAACTAGATTTTTCTCATATCAGATGACATAAAGGTAGTTGCTGGCTTAGCAGTATTCTTTTCCTAATGTCAGTGTTTTCCATAGGTAAAGGTAGTTATATGTGGATAGCTGTATGCTTTAGTATATTGTATAAAAACTCTGTGCCCTAACATAAACAGAGAAGAGAATTATTGTGCTAGACTCCTCACATTAGTAATACTATATAGAGTCTTGTATTATCTGTGTACCCAGAGTTTACAATTATGTCTGTATAAAATTCTAGTCCAGTGGTTCTCAGTTGAGGTGATTTGGGCCACGGAAAGACATTTGGCAATGTGGAGATATTTTTGGTTGTCAAAACTGATGTGGGGAGGCAGATGGCTTCTGGCACCTAATGTGTAGAGGCTGGGGATGCTACTAGCCGACCTGCAATGCACAAGTCACCCCTCTTCACAGTAAAGAATTCCCCAACCCAAAATATCATTAGTATCAAGTTTGAGAAACCCCATCTTAGTCTAACTGTGCACCTCTATCACTATGTTGTATAGTTTTAGAATATTAAAACCTCACATACTTAAGTGGGTAGATTATAAAATGGCCAAAATCTTTTAGTTCGACTATGAAAATTATAATTTCAATCATGTACTCAAATCTTATGTAAGAGAATGGTAGAAGGTAGTAAAAATGGTAACCGTATAAAAATGGTACCAGTAGTCCATAAGCTTGAACCCAATGAATGGTTGGTTGACTTTTGAAATATAAAAGAATAGCTGTTTGGGAGTGGGAAGTGGGGGAGAATATACTTTGTATCAAATAATGATGATATTGGGACAATGATAATAGCTGTGTGTTAGGGATAGGAGAAGCACTTAGCACACACTATTTGACCAAATCTGTACAACAGTCTTGTATGTAGTATCTATTTCTGAATCTTAAGTTTAAAGTCACACAGTGAGTAAATTGCTGATGTTTTATATTGCAGCATATTTTGTCTTTGCTCTTCCCTGAGGAACAAAGTTTGTATCTTCAGTCCTTTTGGTATTTTGAGGCCAAGGGCAGGCTTACCTTGGTGATTTGCCTTCAATGTCCTGAAGGTGCTTTTTTTTTTCACAGTCCAGGTGATTCTGATAAAAATGGCTGCACAAGTTCACTTTGTGTTTTCTGATTTCCAGGGCTAATATGTAGCTTTAATACATCTCCTGTTGATATACTACCTTGATTCTCTGTGTTTCTTGTTAATTTAAGAATGGCTTGAAATCATGTTGACATTTGAGTATGGGTATGCAAGAGAAAAATATACTTCTGCTTACCCTGATTTTGAAATAGTGTTATTTTTCTATAACTATAATAAATACTTCTACCATAGAAATAAATTTGCTTATACCATCTGTGTGATAGTTTATCATTTCAAGTGCTTCTCTGTGATCTAATACTAGAAGTTATGGAGCCTCAGAGAGAACCCTGTCATGGTGAATGTGGGCAGGGGCCTACAACTAGCTAGACTTTTGAGCTGCATACCTCACATGTGTTATTCATTTGCTCCTTAAAATAACCCTTGAGCTAAGTCCTGTCATTCCCACTTTTATAAGAAAGAAAACTGTCATATATATTTACTAAATGCCTGAAAAATACACTAATACTGACCCAAGATTGTAGGATAAGAAGAGTAGTAAAGAGGAGTAAGTATAATTACAAGTATTGTAGCTCTGCCATTTGATACTTAATGCATGTCTGTCAGCGTGCCCTTCCACTTGATTTCCTCCGTTATAAAATGAGCATAATGCTGACTTACTCTGCTAGTGCTCCATTGTTTCTTTTATTTAAAGAAAACAGTGTGTGTTAAGTATACAGAACATAATATGCTGCTCAAATGCAAAATGGTATTAGTGATTTCAGATCAATAGATTTTAGTTTCTTGGGGAAAGCATAAGGATAGCTAATTATTAATTTTGGATGAAGTATACTTGAGTTCTTGGAAGAAAAAAAAGAGTCTTCCAGAGCTTTGGTTATAAGCCTTGGGTTTCTTAATTCTGTCCAGTGCAGATAGGTTGTGTCATTTCAGTAGAGAGTTGCTGCCTTTCTTGTCAGCTCTTGCTGTGCCACAAACTATCAAAAATTTGATGGATGGAAATAACCACCTTTTATACTCAAAATTTTAGAAAACAATTAGGCTGAACTTAGCTGGATAAATGATCTTGGCTGGGTTTTTGTGGTCCACTCCAGGTTGGCAAGGTGATTCAGCTTCTGGAACTTAGTTGAATTTGGGTGGACAGTGAGGGTGAGCTCCCACAGCGTTGATGCCATGGTGTTGATCAAGCTTGGGCTTGGTCTCATACTGCCGGCAGAAGTCTAAGAGAGAAAGCAGAGGTGCTCAATATGTTTTGAGGCCTAGTCTTAAGAATAGTTACAAAATTGCACTCCTCTGCTGTATGGACCCTAAAATTAATTACAGGGCTAGACCAGAGTCAAAAGGTAGGGAATAGGTTCATTGCTTGATCAAAGGAACTGTGCAGTTTTGTAAAAAATAAAAATAAAAAAAACTGGGTGGATGAGGAATCAGGCTGTTGGAATCAATCTACAACAGCTCCATTCTGATTGGCCTGGGATACTTCTGACTTTATCAGTGTCCCTGGAACCCCATTTGACTTAGCATTTGTTCTTGACAAAAACGAGACTGAATTAACATCTTAGTTAAAAGAAGTACCTTCCCATCCTTTTTGTGTGAAGGTGCTGATTTACAAGAAAGTGTCATAAATTTACGGAAGAAGAAAGTGTTCTCTTGGGCTTTAGATGTTAAACACTGTAATCTTTGTAACTGAGGAAAATTCTTGCTTCTCTTCTTTAATTTTCTTTTCTTTTCTTTTTTTTTTTTTTTTGGTACTGGGGATCTAACTCTGGACTTTGCACTTGCCAGGCAGGTGCAGTGCCACTGAGCTACATCCCCTGTCTAGTCCTTCATTTTCTATCTGATTTGTTCATTTTATATTACTTTGTTTCTCTCTCTCTCTTCATTAGTCTACCTCTTCACGCTTCATCACCTCTCTGAATATAAAGCAGATCTTAGTGCTTTGAGAATAGAGTTAATAGCTGCCTTTACCTATTTCTGCCCTTAACATTTTTTGTTTTGAACCCCAAATGATTTTTACTATGTTACAGTACATTGACATTATATTTTTGCAAAAGTAAATATAATTTTTTTATTTTAAATTTTAACTTGTTTTCAAATCTAAAGCTATAACTTCTAAAGCTGCCAGAGTTCTAATACACTATTTCCTTTCTCAACATCTAACTTCTTTTTGACATGCTAATCCTTTATGTTTGTACCAGCCAATGTTTTGCATAGTGCCTTCATTAAAATCCAGGTGAAAATTGTCAAATGTATCTCTGAAAATCTCTGTCCCAATGCAAATCAAAAGAGATTGAGACTATATATAAATGGAAGACAGCTAAGAATATATCTTCTCAGAAAAAAAATTAGGTATGTTGGTTGCTTAAATCTCGGAAGATTAATTTACCACTGTAGATTGAAGCCAACAGATTATACTTTTTAATTTAAGGCTAGGGTGAAAGAAGAAATGATAATAATTTCAAAACTTGAATTCTGAAGTATTTCCAGAGATTAAGAATTTTCAATAATTTTCATCAGGGTGTATCCCTTAATATTTAGCATTTATTTTAGTAATTTTCATCGGGGTATATCCCTTAATATTTAGCATTTATTTTTCTGATGTGATCTATTTTTTAAAAATTTTAGTAAGTTGAAATAAAAAATTCCTTGTCATTTCTTTTCAAATTTGAATCTCCAGTTTCAACAGTTGAACTGTACTGTAAACCTGAATATTCAATTGTTACAAGCATCTCCCCCTGTGTATTTTGCTGTTTTGTCAAGCATGTGATACATGCCAGCTCTAAACTCATTAGCTACTTCCTTTTGTAAATCCTTTTCCCCTGCAGTGGCTCCATTTGTTCCAGGTTGTTTGGAAATTTTAAAAGTGTCTTCAAATCCTTTGCCTTATTTTGCCCAAATTGTTGACTAAGGTCTATCTTGGCTTCTGGTGATGCTTCAGATTAGTTTCCTCCAAGTTCTCATGTAACCCGTAGCACAGGGGACTCTGCTGCTTGGATCCAGCCCTCTCCTCTAGTTCCTTGTCGTCCTTGTATGACACTTTCAGCATAGATTTTCCTAAATATTGTCTTTTAATGTCCATGAAGTAGTGGAAGACCAGAGCTCAGGGAAGACCACAGATCTGTTTCCAGCTCTGCTTCAGCGGCGTGATGTGTGACAGTCTCTGAGCCTCAGTGTTCTTGTCTGTTCACATCTAGTGCATGTGCGCTGCCTGACCTTACCATGTTTGGAATAGTAACATATGAGAATGCAATTTAAAATCAGACAGCATCTAAAGGTATTACAAATTTGTCTTTCCTAGTCTGGTTCTCTTTTGTATCAAATATGAAGTCTGCAAGTGTCCTAGTGATATAGGGAAAATAGCTTTAACTCCCAAATCTACTAGATATCTAAAACATGAGTTTGTGTTCTCTATAATTGAAGAATGAATTCTAGGAACAATGAAGGTTAAAAGTAGGAAAATATAGTCAGACAAAAATAGCTTCTGTCTAAGACAGAAGGGGGACTGGAAAGTGGGTTGCCCTCCACTGCTTCTCAAAGGTGTTTATTACAGCAACGTCATGAGGTGAGGCAGGTACAAAGTGGGACAAAACTATAAGACCCAATGGAAAATTACAAGGTGGCCATGAGGTGGGACAAAACACAACCAACCAATAAGATTATAAGTACAGGGACTCAGGTAATATTGATGAAATGGGGATCAAATGGGAAAACAAGTCACATACAAGGAATTTGCCATTTAGAATATCAATCACTGTTATGTATCTCTAGGAGAAGTAGTACCTCTTCTTTTTATAATGCTAACCAGTGCATGTGCCTCAATTAATTGTTCTCCATGTTGGCTTCTGGAGGGCTGGCACCTTGAGGACTGGGGCCTTAAGGGCTGGTGCCTTGAAGGGGCCCCTGTCTAACTGCCTACAAGATATCTAATTAACTTACCTATCTACAATACTAGCTTACTCTAAGATTTCCTCATGCTAGGTATACTTGTCAAGCTGCTCTCCAAATATACCATGCATTTGCATTTTTCTTATCTTTTCCTGATTGTGTTACTTTCATATTTTACCTTTCTTTTTTCTATCCCGAAGTGAAAATCAGAAGAAAAAATTTCAGATCCATGCACTTTATCATTTCTACCATTGTTTGCTATTATTTAAAGATAGTAAAATGAATATCACTGAATAAAATTGGAATATTTTATCATATAAAAGTATATCATTATATCTTCCAAAGTTTCTTTGAGGATTCTTGAAGTAACAATGTTAAAGCCAACACCAGTCTGCTCAGCTTGTTATTCATTCCAGTGTTGTCTAAGAAACACTCTCCTACCATAGCCACTGGCTGGTGATAACAGCCATGTGCTGTGTGACTGCGCCTCTGGCTATGCTGTATACAAGGTGTGACTGAAAACTATGGTGAATGTTTAAAATTTTTTTAAAGTTATTGTTAAAAACATATTGCTATTAATACCTCTCAAAATACTCCCCCTTGCTTTAGACACTCCACTGTTCTTGCCATTTTCTGAAGGAGTTCTGGAAGTCCTCTTTCATGAGTGTTTAGTTGTGCAATTGTGGCTGCTTCAGTGTCCTGAATTGATTCAAAACATTTACCTTTCCTAGTCAGCTTGGCTGTGGTGAAGAGCCAAAGGTCTCAAAATGCCAGGTCCAGTAAATAAGGTGAATGATGATACACTGTAATATTTTCTGAGCCTGCCTTTCTGTTGGATGGCACACAGCAGCAGCATTCATCTTATTTTTTTATCACACCTCATAAAGACACAAAACAAGACTTCTAAAACTGCTTCAGAAAGTGGCAAGAATGATGGGAATAAATATGTTCAAAGTGAGGGGAAATATTTTGAAGGGGATTATTGGCAATGAATCTTATTGTAATAAATTTTTTAAAAATTGAACATTCATCATATGTTTTTGTGGAGGATATGAGAAGTTCTCAGGCCCTCGGACAGCCTTGGGAAGACAGATTGTCCCCATGTCTGTGGCAGGCCCAGATAGAGAAGTTAAAGATAACTTCAGAAGTCTGTTTGTCGATCCCACAGTGTTTGTTCCACCGTGGTCCCTTGAGACTCTCAAATATTTGCTTGGTGTAAGACTAGATAAGAATAGCTAACTTTTTAGAAGCTTTAAGTAGCCAGGATGATTTAGATAAGATGCACTAAGATTAAAGGAGCATAGTTAAAGGAGATAGTTCTTTAGATGCTTTATGTACTGACAAATATAACTGGTGGTTAGTTGACTAACATTG